GGCCGGTAAGTTCAGTTACAGCGCCGCCAACCTTTTTGTTCATCACCGGTGAGGTTCATTCCAATTCACATGTGCTCACCGTTGAATCCTTACTTCCACGCCGTTTCGAGCTCACCATAAGCCCTTTTTACTACCTTATTGGGCATCCTCACGAGCTCGCCGACATTCTCGCCGTTCACTGTGGTCGCCGGTCCATTTTTGGTGGCTCATTCATGTCGTCCTCTCCACTATGCTTACCGGAGTCATTTCGTCAACCTCGCTGCCATCGCCGACCACACCCAGCTTACGTGCTCACCAGTAAATCCTTATGCCACCATCCTCTGTCCTCTCCGGATACTTCGCCAGCGCCGTTTCTAGATTCGTAGGCAGCAAAAAGGGAAATTTGGTTAAAGCCATGTTTGGCTTTGTTGCTAATTAAGGGCACTCTTATCCTTTCATGTTTCTAAGGGCAGTATGGCCTTTTAAAATATTTCAACAAATTTTAATGGCTAATTCTCACCGGACCTTGGCCGGATAGGGTGATCTGTAACTTTTTTGCATAGTTCAAAGGGTTTTCTGCAATTTTGGAAGTTTAAGGGGTTAGTTGCAAATTTTCCCAAAGTTCAGAGGGGGTTTTTTGCACTTTACCCTAAAAATTATTATAATAATGATATAATTTTAAATTTTAAATCATTTCAGAACAACTCTTAATATGAAAATAAAAAATGAATTAAAATTTTATAATACTATTACTCAAATAGATGTATATAAATAAAAATTCATATTTATAAATAATCGTGTCCACGTGTTACTCGTGTCTTACTTTTTAAAATTTTGAGATATCAACATATTCATGTCATATCATATCTGTGTAGCGTGTCAATGTTTAAGCTTCTTAGTTGTCCACACTTCAAAAGGAATACAAACACTTAAATGCTAGAATTCATTTGGTTAAGTTTAGACATGCTTTTGCAATTGTGGTATGCAGTTTTACATAAATGTCTATTTTTATTTTTGTAACACAAAAACCACTAAACAGATCATTAACCAAGTGTTTTCGATTCACACTCTGATGGTTGAATTGCTTAACAAATGGTGTTTGTTGACTCAGTTTTTTTCTCCCGATAAGAACACAATATAACGTGTATCTTAGGGCCCGTTTGGAAAGTGTTGTGTTTTGTAGTGTTTTGTATTAGCCTAGAATAGAACAAGTGTTTTGTAATGTGGTGTTCTGAAATGAGAATAAAATATGTTTGGTGACGAAAATTTGCGGTGAGAATTTTGGAACAGAAACATGGTAGAATATGTTTGGCAAGATATTTTGTTCCAAGAAATATGAGAACAAAACATGTTTAGCAGAGTAAAAGTGTAACCAAAATTAGTAAAACAAAAACATAAAATATGTTTGGTAAAGAGTGTTTCTAAATAATGTTTGCATCAATACATTATTTATAACTTTATTAAATATAAAGTAAAATTTAATTATTGTATAATTTTAATATACAATCAATTTAACTTTTCATATATATATATTGTTAAAAGTTTATCTTAGTTTTTTATAAAAACCAATAAAATATATTCTAAATTGTAAAATCTATGAATGTTGCATATTGTTTTGACAGTTGTAGAACACATTGTTTCACTATCGAACTGGAATAAACTTTTAACATATTACACATTACATGAGTTTGAAGATATTACAGACATAAGTTTCATAAATGTTGCATCATTTGTCAACAAGCACAATAAAATTCATGAAGTAAAATTGAACCAATATATTACATCATTTATCAACAGCCACAATAACCAATAACAACAACATGAGCAATAACGTAAATAATATAGTTATAGTAAAACAACAATAACAACCATAGATAATGTAGTTTTGCCGATTTTGTTAAGCTTGCATAATAACAACTACATCCTCCAACTCTTGTGTTGGCCTAAGAATTTTATCTAAAGGTCAATCTTATGTTTTCATGATTACAAACCATTAATGATGTTTAAGTACTAAATTCTTCATTGAGTGATATATAGATGATCAATATTCAATCCTCAATGATGAGCTAGAAGATCCATTCCAAGCATTCTAAGCACTTAAGCAATGGATTCAAGGAAACCTCAAAAGTTACAAGAAATCAAAAAAAAAAAAAAAAAAAAAAAAAAAAAACTCGAACTTCAAAGATCATTCAAGCATTTCAAAGAAAGAAAGCAAGACTTCATCAAGCCTAAACGATCATGGTCAAAGAATGAAGAAAAGGGTAAATAGGATGGTGAGAGCTTAAGAATTAATGTCAAAGTTTATTTGAATATATTTTGAAACTCAAAATTTTAGGATCATGTATACTCAATCTAAATTCAGTTTTTAATATGCCTAAAATTTACTCATGAACCTTATATATGCAAGCTACACATAATAGGAAGTGCATAGGACTCACTTAATTTCATTTTTAGTCTTGCACAGCAATGAAGCCACCTCCATTCAAGGTAGAGCTTGCTCTTTTCACTCCAGTAACCAATTTTGGTTTTTACAAAGCAATAGAGCAGCCTCTTTTCAAGTTGAGCCTGATCTTTTCAAGTTGAGCATGCTCTTTTCACTCCAGTAGCTAAAATAGGCTCGAGAAATAACTTTTTAGAGAAAGAGTCGCCTCCTATTTCTGGTAGCCGCCTCTACTTGAGGTAGAGCCTGCTCCACACAAAATGGAGCCGCCTCCTCTATTACATAGAGCAGGCTCCTTATGAGGGGTTTGAATTCCAAAGACAATTTTTGCATTTAATTCCTCCAACCACTTGAAAGAACATTCAAGAGCATTCAATAGTCATAAATTGTTTCTCTGAGCTTTCATTCATTTATCACTACATTCTCTTATCCTAGAACTTGAGCTTCATTAATATTCTTATCTACTCTAGTTGTGAGCTTACACTTGTACATCTAAATATTTAAAGAGATTCAATCTTGTATTTCAATTACAAACGTTGCTACAATCTTGTAAGGGTTGTTGTGACCCAAAAGAAGCCTAGGAGAAGGATGTTCTCCTAGCAAGAAAGAGAAGCAAAATGAAGCTATAATAGATAGAAAAATGAAGCAAATGCCAACAAACCCATATTGCAGAGAAAGCGATAGAAAATGGGCAAAAATCAAAATTTCATGAGAGATCAAATCATATTTTTTGACGAATCAAAGATTTAAAAATAGGCTTACTTACTATGCTAAGACCAGATCTTGAAGCTATAAATGGAATCCGATCACTGTCTTCACCAAATTCATTCCTGAAAATATTACACACACTCAGAAATCGTAAAACCCCATAACTCTGTAATTGTTCAAAACTCTGTTTGTATCTCGGATTTGGCTTTACATACCGAGATGAGAGAGATAAAGAAATAGACAGAGAGCTTGGGGAGAATTTGGGCAGAGAGAAAAGAATCCGAGAGTGGAGAGAGAGGCGATGAAGAGAGAGCTTGGCCCCTTCGCGAAGAACTCGCTGGAGTGACAAAAGGCCGATCTAAAGCCTGACGTTGTGCACTGTGTAGGAAAAGGTCGTCAATTTGCAGCACGGGAATCACCTCTGGATCGCCTCCGGAATCGCCGTTTGGAGAGCGCAAACAAACCCTAGAGTGTTGCAACTTTCCTTTTATACCTATGTTGGGTTGGGCCATTTTATTCCTTCCGCTGCAATTACTTTTGTAGCCCAAAAAAACTCCAAACAAACGAGAACACCAAAATGGTGTTTCAACCTTGAGCCCAAAATCCTGGAGTGTTCTGGTACTGTTGAAAACAAAATAAGCCGGCCCAAACATGTTTTGTTCTCAAAATGGGCTACTGTAACAGACCAGAAGTATTACAGAATACATGGAAACAATTCCCAAACAAGCCCTTAGTATGTCTTGCAACTTGGGGTGGACTTTTGAGGTCCTAAGAAGAAAATAAACCATATTACTTACCCTTTTTGCCTGTTGACTTTATTGTGGCCCTAGCTTTGATGCAATAAACACAAGAATAAAGAGATATATATATATATATATATATATATATATATATATATATATATTTATGATTTAACATTATACAAGTGTGATTCCAATTAATTCGTTAATTTTTTTTCTCTTCAAATACGCTATAACACATTAAGAATTGTATATTAAGCATTTTTATTCTGCAAATGAATCATAGAAGGGACACACCTTTGTTTTTTTTTTCTTTGAGAGAGAGATGGCAATGTTAATCATTTGGATTGAAGAACACTGAAACTTGCTCTTATAATTGTCGATTTACTTGTAGAACTTGAGGAATTAAAGTATACTTAAGTTTCCAAAAAACAAAAAGAGAAGAAAAGTCTACTTAAGTGAAAAGTATTTGGTCTCTGGCTACTTATTCTTATAAATCCAAGTCGAAGAAAAGTATACTTGAGGGAAAAGTATTTGGTCTACGGCTACCTATTCTTATAAACCCAAGTCTTTCTCCGTTCATATTCGTGAAACAAAAATCTCTAACAACGTAACCAACCCAAACACGTTTATTTATTTATTTTTAACTTTCTCATATAATTTCATATACACATAACAAACTCAACTGCTTTAGGCTATATATATATATATATGGTAAAACACGTGTTTGAAGCATGTGAGACAAAGTATGTGTATAACTATAAAGTAAAAAATTGTAAAGGATAAAAAATATATATATAAATAATTTTGCATTATTATTTAAAAACATAAATTATAAATAACATTGTGAAATAGAAATTACATTATTATTTAAAATTTCACTGCTGTCTTTGTTGTTAGTGGTGATACCATTAGCAGCAACACCAGCAAGCCAAAGCCAGACTGTCCAAGCAGCCGGGACCCGTTCAATATAATTTGAAGTAGGAAAAAAAAAAAAAAAAAAGTGGTAGTTTAATATATTAATATCAAATAATAGTTAACAATTTTTATTTAAAAATTACCATTATTTGAAAGCAATATGATGGCAATTATAAGTACACTGTTGTACAGATTAACTGTGGTCAAATGAAAAATGATCAAATCATACATCTTATTCATTTATTGGAAGAAAAAAAATACACATCTTATTTGTTTATTTAACATAATAAAACCGGTGCAATACATAATTTAAACAGAAAATAAAATGCAGTTGTATATCAAACACAAAGCCATCATCTCGGACCGCCTACTGAAATTAATACTTGATCCTTAATGCTATCATACCCGGCTGTTGTATTACCACCACCACCATAACCGTGATCCTCTGATTCACGGAGCAAGTACTCTCTCTCCTCTGAATTTACACCGGCACCAACCCATCCGTGCCTTTCCATCTTTCTCAGTCCCTCAAGTTCCGCTGCTACTTCCCTCATTGTAGGCCTTTCCTCACCTTTTAACATTAAGCACCTTTTTGCTACATTAGCTACTTCTCTAAGCTGCTCTGGATTTCCCTCTTGCACTACACAATCATCCAGAATTTGGAACAGTCGATCTTCTTTCAACAATGCTAGAAAATACATAGCTAGACTTCTCTCCTTCTCTGGCCCAGTGTGAGAAAGTGGCTTCTTTCCGGTGAGCAGCTCCACAAGAAGTACGCCGAAGCTATAAACATCACTTTTTTCAGTCAATTGATTTGTTTGCAAATATTCAGGATCCAAGTAACCAACGGTTCCCAACACCATAGTTGATACTTGAGTTTCATCGAGTGCAATCAACCTTGAAGCCCCAAAGTCAGACACCTTTGTGGTGAAATTATCATCCAAGAGTATGTTCATGGACTTGACATCTCTGTGAATGATGGGAACGGAAGTTGCACAATGCAAATACGATAACACTCCAGCAATTTCTGCAGCAATCCTTAGACGGATTTCCAGGGACATGACCGAGGTCTTTTCATTGCTATGTATGTGGTGATAAAGAGTGTCATTGGTGATGAATTCATATACCAATAATGGGACTTCTGTCTCTAGACAACAACCCAAGAGTTTTACCACATTCCTATGATTAATTTGAGAGAGTACAACCACCTCATTTATAAATTGGTCAATCTGAGTTCGATCCACCATTTTGGACTTCTTTATGGCAACTGTCCGGTTGTCTTTAAAAATTCCTTTGTAAACGGTACCAAAACCTCCTTGACCGACTATCCTACTTTCATCATAGTTGTTGGTGGCATCCTCAAGCTCCTTTGTAGTGAAGATTCTAATGGCATTGGCCGATATTTGCCTTTCATGGAGTTGTTGTTGTAGCAAAAAACCTCCATTTTGCCGAAAGAACTTTTCTTTGAGCATGACGAGCTTTCTTTGTTTGAATCCCCAGTACAACCAATTGCCTCCAATTAATAATACTGCGAAGCCAATGCTGATACCTACATTTGACCAAAGAATAAACTATGTATGTTTTAGTGAATGCAGCTCAACTCCTATGTTACCAAATTACATGATGTTTTGACCATTCTGAAGAAATATACACACATGGATCCATGTGTTGAAACATCAATGCCTAATTCTGAGTAAAACTAAAACTAAATACTGTTTGATTAATTTAAGCATCCCGGCCGTTAGCCAGTTATGCAAATTGACGAACCAAATTGTTTTGCGTTGTGTTTTATCTTTTTTTTTTGGTAAGTAAAAAAGAGAGACCAAATTGTTTTGCGTAATTTTGGAAGCCAAAACAATAATAACTAGGTTATGCTGGAAACTATTTACTTAGTGCATGCAAGAAAAAATTAGAAGACCAACGGGCTGTGGCCTAGCGGTATTAAACTCTTACTTCTCAAAGAGAGGTTAGGGGTTCGAGCTTCCGTGGAGGCATGTGTATGTGAGAGTACCAACTAGGAGAAAAAAAATAAATAAATAAAAATTTATTGGAAGCCAAAACAATAATAACTTCAAGTGATTATTATTTTGTACAAGTCCTAAAAATAAATTTAAAAACAAGAGTTAGAAGTTCTAGAGACGCATTTTAAAAGATAAATTTGGAAGAGTGCCATTTCTCAAAACTAGCTACAACCTATCAAAGTTGGGGGTTTCCGGCCCAAACAGTTCTAACATCGTTATTTTGGTTTTATAAACCTATGAATATTTTCTATTTAAAAACAATAAAAGTACAATGAATATTATTGTCAATTCAAGCCATTGATAAATTGACAAAACTAACCAGGAAAGTCAGAATTATTTAGACATTGAACAGGCCAGTGTAATTCACCCAAACTTAATTCTATTAACAACAAACTGAAGCTAGGCCCTAGTTTGCAACCGAAAGCTAAGGAAGGTCAGGGCCCTATATGCATAACATGGGAGTATTGAAAATTACAAAAAGACAGGTATTCCATATATCTTTTGCGACCCCGACTGTAAGGAAATGTTCTCTCTCTCTCTTGATAAGGTTGGAAGCAATTATTGTTAGTGTGTAAAAATATATATACAGACTTACCGAGCGACACCTTTGTCAATAATAATGGGTCTATAGTGCAGCCCTCTCCATCTCTTTTGCCGTCCCCTTTATACCACTTTGGACACGAACACTTATAACTGCCGAGTTTGTTATGACAACTATTGGTGCAGTTATTGAGGGTTGAATCCGTACATTCATCAATATCTGAAAATGATCAAACTGATAATTAAAGCATGACGATAACAAAAGAAGTTTTGAGCAACATAAGAAAAAAGTTGTCAAAAATACCTTGGCAACCATTGGGAAAAGGCAAATATGGGTTTCCTCTGTAACCTTGAGGGCAGTTGCAGCGATACCCTGGACCATTACTGGACTCATTGCAGACACTTTCCTTTGGACATGCATAATTGGATGAGTTCTTTTGAGCTTCTTCGCATGTTAGATTGCCAACTGCCCAGTCCAGCACAGTGGGAACAACTCTTCTGTATTGAAGATCCTTGAGATGGGCTGTAGAGAAGTTATAAGCATCTTCTTCCACCAGGAAAGAATAACTGCATGGACTGAAGTCCCATATCCTGCTGTGGTTAAATAAGCTTCCAACGCTGCTATTAAAGACCAAAAGCCCTTCTGGGATGAGGCTTTGGCAGCATCCTATACCGGAGCAAACCCCGTCCCTTGTACTATTTTCATCAGTACAGAATGACAAGCACCCAGCCATTATAAGGTCGTCTCCTTGGAAAGCTATGGCGTTGGCAAAGGTGTCACAACCAACAGCAGTGAACTTGTTTCGGGTATAGGAAAAAGGGAAAAATGGTAAAGTAGTATAGGAAATATTATCGTCTGTCGTGTGGCCCAGGGAGTCATAACACCTAATAGCTATAAAAGTATGGATGCGCAATTCATGAGCATCAATGGATATGTTTAGGACTTCGACAGTAGAGCTGTTTAGTAGCTGTGCTTTGGGAGGGTTGACACTGTGGTCACAAGTTATCAGAAAATCTTTATTGAAGTAACAGCCCTCGCTTGTGCCAAACGGGTATGGAATGCTTACATCCCCACAATATTCATCACAATCGGATCGAATTGTTTGAGATGCTTTTGTTGTTGCTAGTGCTAGTACTGCTACTAAACACCATAGCAACACCATTTGCAGATGCTTCCTTTGCAAACCCATGAGGGCCTCTCTTTCTCTCTCTGGATCAAGTAATTAAGAATTATATATGAGATCTAGCTTTGTCTTTCCTCAGTTTTGAGGGGAAGGACTGATTGTTGTACTATATTTTTCATCTTTCTTTTTTTCATATATGAAGATGAGAACACGGAAAGATAGCATTGACTCACCCAAAATGAAGTCTTTGGAAGGACTTCTATTGTTATGCAAAGGAAGTTGCCATGAAAGGATGGTGATTTGGTGAAATTCATGCTATATATTTTTTTTATAGATATTTTGTCCTTCGCAATCTTTTGAAATGAAAAGTATAAAAAGTATTAAAAAAACTAGTCTAACTCAAAATTTTCAAAGTATTATTAATTAGCTTGTTTTGATACCATTATTGGAGATGAGAACACGGAAAGATAGCATCGACTTACCCCAAAATGAAGTCTTTGGAAGGACTTCTATTGTTATGCAAAGGAAGTTGCCATGAAAGGATGGTGATGACACCACATCTCTGTCCACTCTTCAAAAGGAATACTAACGCTTTAAATGTTAATTAGTGGATTGAGAAACAGCCAAAGCGCCCTCTTGACAAATTAAACTTGCTCTTATAGTTGTCAATTTACTTGTAGAACTTGAAGAATTAAAGTCTATTTAAGAGAAAAGTATTTGGTGTTTGGCTACATGTCCTTATAAACCCAACTTATTTTCATTCACGTTCAATGTGAGACAAAAATCTCTAACAATGTAATCAATTCAAACACGTTAATTTTTATTAACTTCGTCCTATAATTTCTTATACTCATAACCAACTCAACTTCATTAGGCCGGATATATATATATATATATATATATATATATATATATATATATATATATATTAGTAAACCACATGTGTGATGCCATTAGTCGAGGTGTGTGAATAACTCTCGTAGCTTTGCATGATAAGTTTCAGAAATTTTGCATCTAAATGCAAGTCAATAAAAATGCAAATATTTGAAACAGGTATACGTACCTTTCCCACCATTGCCATGTCAAATGAATTCATTGCCGTGTGTTTTAATTTTAATTGGCAAAGTAATGGCGAGGTTTGAATTATCATGTTAATCATAATTTACTAAAGTTTAAATTGTTAGAGATAGTTTAATTTTAATATTTAATTTTTCTAAACAAATAAAATAAGAGAAAATAAAAGAAAGAAAAAAATTAAAAAGGATTTCATATAGATATTTGTAAAGATAATAAAGAATATGTAACAAATAATAAAATAAATATATTCCAACGGACACTATCATAATAATCATAAAAAAAATAAAAAATAAAAAATAAACAATAAAAAACTATCTAAATATAATTAATCAATAACCCTAAATACATAACATATATATTTATAAGGATAAAGTGCAATAAACCCCTCTCAACTATACCCCAGGTGCAGCAAACCCCCCTCAACTACAAATAACATCCCCAAACTATGAGTTTAGTTAAGTTTTAGGACAGAGAAGGTTTTGCCGGTGACATCCTATAATTGAAAATGTGTAAAAGACCATTTTATCCCTGCAATAAAATGGTGCCGCATCAATATAAGTAATAAAACTAGGTTAAATTGATGTGGGACCCACTTTTTATTTATGAAGGCAGTGAATAGTTGACACACATTCACCCTTATCACTATAACTGACACTTTTATCACCTACCACCATTCATTCACCCCATCTATGGAGTACAATATCAATAGAGACCTTCATATATTGAATACAGAGAGAAAAAACTTTATTGATCAGGAAAAAATTTGTGCTTTCGTTCGATCTTCAGTCTTGATCTTCAAGGGTTACTCAGTAAAGCTCTAAACATTAGCACATTAGTTTGTTAATATTGATTTAATATGCAAAAAAATGAGTAGTGATTTATTAAGTTTTTCTAAAAATTGTCTATGTTAGGGTTTAGTATGTTAATCTAAGATGTTTGGTTTTATTTGATTTTTTTTTTTCACCTTAAGCGACTGAAATATATTAAGTAAAAATTGCAAAAAAAAATGAGTAGTGATTTACTAAGTTTTTGTGAAAATTGTTCTATGTTAGGGTTTAGTATGTTAAGTAAAAATTGTTTGGTTTAATTTGATTTTTTTTCCACCTGTGAATGACCTGTGAAAGAAATTATTTTTATTTATTTTTTTCTCAAAAATTTAAGCGACTGAAACATATTAAGTAAAAATTGCACAAAAAAAAAAAAAAAATGAGTAGTGATTTACTAAGTTTTGGGCGACATAAATTTGATTGTGTATTTGTATATGTTGTCACTTTTAGTGTCTTTCATGTTTTGTTATATAGTGTTGAAAGCATCTACTTTTAAGGTTCTGTACCAAAAGCTAGTTTGTTCTTTTTTGCATCAGACATCAATAATGCTTTTAGTAGGCAGCAACTTGGTCATTAGTGGTCCCTAGTAAAATCATTTGTATGTTTAGATTGTGGTTGAGTGGTCTTTGTTGTGTATTTATTTTAGGTCCTTTTCAATTATTGAAGTGTGGAGTTGCTATTGAATTTGTTACCCTGCGATTGAGTGGTCATGCTGAATGTAGTTTGATTTTTTTTTTTTTTTAAAACTGTCCACTTGTAATGCACTTGTGACCATTGACCTTATCCTACATTTCAAAGTTATTGTTTGTCTTTATGCACTTTTAAAGTCACTATGTTTTTCCCCACTTTTCACTTCTTTAGTATGTTTAAAGTACTTGCCTATCTTGTACAAATTTTGTAGATGCACCTTTACAGCATTGAGATTCATCATGGGGGTGTTTTTTCAAAAACACCCCATATAACATACATAGGAGAAGCTACATCCTTCATTGAAAGTGTAGACCTAGACCTTATGACTTATACTGATATCCAAGAGATGGCAAATAATTTGGGATATGGGGATATCAAAGAAGTGTTTTATAAAGTACCATTCTTAAATGGTAATCACTGCTTCAGATAGGTAAGATGTGATTTAGTCGTACTAAGGATGTTTTATGACTATGAAGCTCAGAGGGAAGGCAACCTAGTCAAGTTATACATTGTTTCACCTATGCTGAATCTGTAAGGGAAAGAAATTCCAATTTCAACACATAGTGCAGAAAATGAGGGCTCAACTTCAACTGATCATTATGCACAAGTTGAAATAGATTTTGCACAGGTTGAATCTGATTATGCTCCTATTGAATAGTTGATAAGTGCATGTGGATTAGAAGATGATGAGGGTAATGGTCTTAAGCACCAAGAATTTATTCCTTCAAAGGATTTGGGGGAAAAAGAAATAATTATGGGCATGAAATTTGGGACAACTGCAGATTTCAAACTAACACTTAGAGAAACAGCAGTGAAGAAAAGGTTTGATTTGAAGTTCAAAAGAAATAATAGGGATGGGATTTCTGTAGTATATAAGGGGGGTTGTAGTTGGAAGATATTTGCAAGCAAGCCAGATGATGAGGATTGCATAATAGTAAAGACATATGTTCTAGAGCATCATAATTGCCTTTGGTTTCATACAAATGGACAAGCCACATCTACCTACTTAGCAAATAAGTAGCTAGAGCAAGTGAGACTTAATCTAGGCATGCCAGCAAATACACTTAAGTGTACTATTGTAAGTGAGTTGGATATTGATGTGTCAGACTATAAAGTAAGAAAAGCAAAGAGAAAAGCTTAGATGTTGTTAAGGGAAATGAAGCAGAACAATATGAAAAGATGAGGGAGTATGCTCATTTGATATTTACATCAAACCCTGGCAGTGTAGTTAAAATTCAAACTAAGCCCACAGCTGAAGAAAATGTGAGAAAATTTCAAAGGGTTTTTATATGTTATGCTGCAGTGAGAAAGGGTGTAGGCCACTAATTGGTGTAGATGGTTGTTTCTTAAAGGGACCATATGGGGGTCACCTTCTCAGTGCTGTATCTATTGATGGAAATGAACAAATGTTCCCAGTTGCCTTTGTTGTGGTTGAGTGTGAGACAAGGGATTCTTGGAGTTGGTTTATGTCAGAGCTCATGGATGTTGTAGGGCCTTACCAAGAAATCACATTCATATTTGATAGGCAAAAAGTAAGTATATTTAACATTATTCAGTTCATATATGGTTTAAAAATTTTGTTAGTTTAGAATTAAAATATTTTTCTTGTGAATGCAGGGTCTGGTAGACACTTTTAAGAACATAATTGATGGGTCAGACCATAGATATTGTGTGAGGTATCTTTATGAGAACTTCAAACTCAGGTTCAAAGGGCAGCAACAAAAAAATGAGTTATGGGAAGCAGCAAGGTCTTTCACAGATGCTGATTTTGATGTACATATGAGGAATATCAAGGTGTTAAATGTTAAAGCTTATAGCTGGCTTCACAATGTGCCACCTGAATTATGGTCAAAATCAAGATTCTCATATCAATCAAAAAGTGATATGGTGATCAATAATATGTGTGAGAGTTGGAATGTTGTCATCCTTTAAGCAAGGGACAAACCAATCATATACATGTTGAAGTGGATCAGAAGACATTTAATGTTGAGGTTCCAAAAGAAAAGAGAATGGATGGAATCAAAAGATAGTTTATTGTGTCTAGAAATTCAAAAGAATTTGAACAATATGAAAAGGAAAGCAAGGATGTGCAAGGTTCTTTATGCTGGTCATAACAAGTACGATGTTGAATGCTTTGGCATTGGCGAAGCAGATGATCTTGAGAAGAAAACTTATAGTTGCAAAATATGGAATTTGATTGGTATACCTTATAGGCATGTTATATTATGCACATTTTTAAGGAAAGACCTGCCTGAGTCATATGTTGATCCATATTATTATAGGGAAACATACTTGAAGGCATATTCTGGTTTAATACATCCTTTCCCTATGAGACAGTTATTGAAAGCACAACCCTCCAACCCCATTGCTTCCACTAACCTTTAGGAAACCTACTGGAAGGCCAAAGAAGGCTAGGAACAAGAAAAATGATGAGCCCAGTACTTCAACTAAGCTTAGCAGATTAAAGCTATGATACCCCCAGATTTTCAAATGCGGGTTGGCCAGGCCCACACCCGAATACCCGAGGATATCAAAAATAAATGGTAAGAAACGAACACAGAATATAAATATGATTGATGAGCGCTGAAAAGTGCGTATTTAAACCCCTTAAGCTTAAGCATTCTAGTACCTTTATCTATCTTACTTTACCGTTTTAGATTGATTTCGTATTATTTTTATTTTCAGGCACTTATCCAGAAAATAAACTAACTTAGCCAAATAAGAGCAGAAATGAAGCAATTCTGGGATGAATCAAAGAAATGAGCCAAAAG